ACCTCCGCTGCTTAATGTTTGACGACTCAAACCCGTGAAGCTTCCCCGTGCGCGGGTTACCCCGCACACGGGTCAGCCTGCCAGCCACGTATCCACGCAATCGTGGCACGCACGCCGAGGATATTTTTTCGGCGCGCGGCATTCAAGAGTCGAGAGAGTGGCAAGCGAGGAGGGGGAGTGATGGCGTTCCCGTGGCTCGAGAAGGAGAACAGCACGTACACCGCGGCTCTCAACAAGGTCACGGAGGAGCGGCGCGACGCCCTTCTCGCAGAGAAGGCCCGTCGCATCGCCGAGGACCGCGCCGAAGACGCTAGGCGGCCGCTCCTGCCCATCAGCGCACGCACCGAGCCGCCTTAGCGCTGCAGCCCTCACGCCAGCATCAGCGCCGACGTTTCCCGCCTCCGCCACCCCTTTGACCACAGCCGCCGCTGTCGCAGGATTGAGCGCGAGAGGGAAAGCATGGCGGCGCTGGCCGCGTCGGAGGCGACGGCGCAGCGGAAGCGGGCGGAGGACGTGGCGCGGCGCGAGGCGGCGGCGGCGGCACAGCAGTTGGCCACCCGCGACGATAAGATCGAGGCCTCTCCTCCGATCAAAGCGCCAGGCCACCGCCCGCTCGGGACGCGTCCGCGACACGTCCGCGCCATGTCGAGCAGGCGTTCCGCCAGATCCGCGCCCGGGAGGTGCTGTCCAAGCACGCGCCGCCGCCCGTCTCGAGCCCCTGGAAGGGGCTGCACCACACCGTCCAGCTCGGCGGTGCCGGACACCTCCGAGACACGCCCGCCCGCCTCCCGACACTCACGCCGCCGCCCACCCTCGCCACTGCCCGCCCACCCCTCGCCACTGCCCGCTAGCCTCGGGATCACAAGACCCCTGCGACGCCATGGCGCCGCTGCGCCGCACCCAGCGCGCACCTCCGCCGCAACCGCCCGTGACATTCCGCCGACATGCCGCTGACATGTCTCTGACGTGTCAACGCCGCGTCCACAGGCGACGGCCTCTCCCCGAAGCCCGTCTTTCAGCGCTCGGTGCGAGATGAGCCGAGATGAGCCGAGATGAGCCGACCGAGAGATTGGCGGCGGCGGAACGGGGCTCGTCACTGTTGGGTGGTAGGCGCGCGGGCTCGCGCCCGTCGACGCTGCCGCGCGGCGCGACAGGGACGAGGCGACGCTTGAGGCGGCCGTCGCCGGCGGCAATGCCAGGCAAAGACAGATAGAGAGAGGAGAGAGCGAGCGACAGGAGGGGGGCGGGAGGGGGAGCGAGAGAGAGAGAGAGAGAGAGAGAGAGAGAGAGAGAGAGAGAGAGAGAGAGAGAGAGAGAGAGAGAGAGAGTTCGCCCTCTTTGCCGGCGGGGCCTCGCTTGCGCAGGTTGATGACAGGCGCGGTCCTGGTGGATAGGCCGGACCAAGTCGCCGCTCTCTCGGCCGCCGAGATCCGCAAGCGTGCCTTGGGGGGCAGCCGCCCGTTTTGAGTCTGCGCCCGCCCTCCCCCGGTGTGCCGGCCCGACTTTGAAGGCGTCGGAGTTGAAGGCTCCGCAGGCAGCTGACGTGCGTTTCGTTGTTCGTGATTGGGTTTTATATGCTCTTGAGGGTGGTGGCGGAGTAGCGCAGAGCGCTCACTTAGCGCGCAAGTGGTCGATGTGTTAGTGCAACGTCAGTATATGTACTACGAGTCGTAGGGGTGGGCTGACCGTGCCGTGCCGTCTGCCGATATTTTTCCGCCCGTCGAATTCGAGCGCAACGCCAACGGCGCGCTCTGGCGCATGTGAAGATGAACGAGTACGAGACGCTCGAGCCTCTCGAGAGTGAGAGTAAAGCGTAGATTCAACTATCAACATTCAAGCAGAACCGAACCAGAAGCACTTGTGGAGCCACGTTATTCATATTAGGAAATAATTATTCTCCAGGGTTGCCCTTTGATCCGGGCCCCAGCCTTACATCTCAAGGGTCACGGGGGTGACAACCACTCGAGCGTCCCCTGTGCCGACCGCCCGATTATTGCATGGCGAGGGCGTTCGCAGAAACAGCATATGGAATCGCTCCTCGCGCCGCTCTGCTCGCACGGCGCTTCCACGACGCCGCGCGCACGCAGCAGGTTCTCAACGCGCACCGCCGCGTTGCACGAGCCGTCGTCAGGCCAGGCTCCGCTGTTGGCGCCGTGGCCATCACCGTGCTCCCCAGACAATCGGCAACTGAACCACGCCCAATGCAAAGTGAGGACGTAGTGGCGCTGGTGGCGGAGAGGGGCTTTACGGGCACAGTCGAAGCGTGCGAGCTCGTTCGCGAGGAGGAGACGCTCCCCGTCGTCAGGCACGAGCGTTACGTGCTCATCGATCTGCTGCGCGCGATGTTTGACGAGGCCGACGCCAACGCCGACGGCATGATCACCATGCCAGAGCTTGCGGGCTTCCTCTCGCGCCACGGACTCGAGGGTGCAACGGGGTGCATCTCGGTTCTGGTTGAAAATGGGCCAGAGCACAAGCTGGATTTCGGAGAGTTCAAGGCAAGATTCACGACACCGAGATCTGCCGTGGTTGGAGCACGATGTCGCTCATGGTCACCTCTCACGCCTCTCGCCACCTAGGCGCTGCTGCTGCGCACGAGACTCGTCGGCTTGCAGGACAATTCGGCCTCCGGGACTCTTAGCGAATACGGCGTGCACCGATCCCTCATGCACGTGGCGGCGGCCTCGATCTTTGATGTGGCAGACCGGAACAGCGACGGACGCGTAAGCAGAGGAGAACTTGAGGTGCTCTTTGCGAGCATGGGGCTGGGGGATGCAGAGCGAGCCGCAGCTAGTTTCACCGAACACGACGTGGACGGAGACGGCTCTATTGACAAAGGCGGCCTATAGGTGCGCCAGCCTGCTGGGTGTTACGTCTTGACGACGCGAACTAATGCTAGTAGGCGAGTTTTTGCGGCTGCTCCTTGCGGAGCGTGTCCTCGACGACGCGCGCCCCCAGCGAGGGATATGGTGACTCAGGCTCGCCTTGTGGTTGAGCGTGGAAACTACCCGCGTTTCGATTGATGAGCACGAGCCCGAGCGGTTTTTGTCAATTTGTGGTGCAGCAAGGACTGTTCCGATGTTGACCATCTTATTGCTCATTTTGTTTAGACTAGAGTAGCACGAACGCGGCACCCACACTCGCATCACGAGAAAGTTTTATTGGAGACTGTGACTCTAGTGTGCAGGGGCCGCGGTCCAGGGCCACGGTCCAGCGAGAGGCGTCTCTCAGTAAGCCCTGCAGAGCGCGGCCCTCGATCCTCTGCTCGAGCCGCACCGCGCGCTGCTGCGGCGTGTCGACCGGGAGCCGCGCCTGGCCGAACGCTGCCGAGCGGGGTCGACAGCGCGGTACACCTCAGCCACCTGGAGGCGGAGCTGAGGGAGCGACCGCCCCCCTTCTATAAGCGGCACAGGCAGCCGGTGCCACAGAATAGCGCGGCGGAGCTCGTTCGCGCTGGGGTTTGCGCTGCCGGTAAGACTTTGGAGGAGCGCCTCGTCGTGCCTGGCCGACGGCGCGGATCTCTTCCTCTCTGGCCAAAAGCTTTCGTCGGCGCAAGGCGCGAGGAGAGCACCCGGCGGAGGTAGGGACGGCGGCAGGCAGCGGGGATGGCCCGTCGTGTAGAGGGCGGCCACTGAAGTGGCGTCGTCTTCTTCAAGGATTGACTCGTCCAGCATGATGGGACCGACACCCGCGGCGGCAATGGTAGCGCTGAGCATGATCGGAAGGGGGTTTCCTTGGGAAGGATGGGCGACGTACGAGTTCCTTGCCCTTGATGGGACAGTTTCGTGGGCCCAAAAGAATTTGTCGGTGTATTCACACCGGCCAAGAGCGGGAGCAAGGCGAAAGAAGCCGAGAGAACAAGGGAACGGCAGGCGGCGGCGGCGCAGGACGAGGCAGAAGAGAATGACGCGACAGAGGAGGAAGTGACAAGGGAGAGAACGACGAGAGTGGGACGGCCGCGAGGTGGCATGAAGGTTGCAGCGAGAAGCGGCGAGAGACTGCGAAAAGAGATAGGAAGAGGCAGACTCCCTAGGGTGGGCGACGGCTAGCGCATCACACCCCTCTCCTTAAAAATCCCTGTGTGGTGGCGGCGTGCCGTCCTCCCATCCCTCCCTTGGGTTGTCTGTTTTCTTTCTTTCTTTCTTTAGAGCGGGAGCACCAGAGAGAAGGCAAAAGGCAACATAAGGCAGGATCTCTCTGGATGGGGGTACAACGAAGGGGGGAACAACCCACACCACACAAGAAGCCAAGCACAAAAGAATAACAAGACAGTGTACTCAGGCAGTCTCATGCGGAAGAGTCAGATATACAAAGGGAACCTAAAGGACAAGGCATACAGCTGTGAAGTGGTTTTCCACTGACAGACCCCCTCGTGCATGGGCAGGCGCGGGCCTCCTACTGGTTGCGCTCTCCTAGTTCTGCTGCTCCTGACAAGGGACAGCGACAGGCTCGCAGCACGGTGGACTCCCTATTCCGCTAAAGAAAGAAAGAAAACAGACAACCCAAGGGAGGGATGGGAGAACGGCACGCCGCCACCACACAGGGATTTTAAGGAGAGGAGTGTGATGCGCTAGCCGTCGCCTACCCTAGGGAGTCTGCCTCTTCCGATCTCTCTTCGCAGTCCCGCTGATTGTGGCGCGTGGCTGCGCGAATTTCTTTTTTCTTGACGGCTAGTTGGCTACGTCGTGTCGACCGCGACCAGAGAGCTGAACCATGCGACTCTGGCGGCTCAATCTCTCATCACTGTTGCCGCTCCCGCCCTGTTTGCAGCCGCTGTCACGCACGCCCTGCATAAATTCGCCGCAGCTCTTTCGGCAGTCTCCGCTGTCCTCACCCTCGCCGCTGGAGCCACGGGGTGATTTCTCCTACTGGTGGCCTTTTGTACAAATGATCCTCACTGGTAGTCCTTTTCTGTTGGCCTGGCGTGCTTGAGAATTCTTTTTGGTCGAGTGCGCGCCAGTCCCGTGCCCAGTGTGGTGCGGGCTTCTAAAAAAATTCGCATGGCCCCTCGCGCCGCCCGCGGAGCACGCTCGCTCAAGGCGGCTGCCAAGGCCTCGCGTGGCGCCGCCTCAAAGTTCGAGGCCGCTCCCGTCGAGCGCAAGCGCCACGATGTGGTCGGCCAGCGCAAGCCGCGCGCGCCAAAGTCGTCCAGCGCCGCTCGGAAGCGGTCCGAGGCGGAGCGGCGCGAGACGCTGGCGGTGGAGTACCGGAACCAGCACCGCAGCAACGTGCTGATCGACGGCCGCTTTGGCGAGGCGGACGACAACCTGCCCGCAGAGGAGAAGCACTATGCGCGGCTGCAGCGCGAGAGGCTTCGGCAGGCGCGCTCGTCCAAGTTTGCGCTCGAGGAGCCGTCCGCGGCGGTCGAGCTGACGCACGGCGGGCGCTCGCTCGGCGAGCTGGAGGACGACGAGCTGGCCGGCGGCGGCGGCGGCGGCTTCGGCGCAGACGACGACGATGCCGGGGCGTTTGGCGCCGACGACGGATTTGGCGGGTCCGACTTTGTTCGCGCGGTCAACTTTGGCGGAGGGTCGGAAGGGGCGCTGCTGAGCCAGCGGGAGGCGCTCGACGCGGCGATCGCCAAGCACAAGCTCGCGCGCCTCGACCGCAAGGAGGAGCGGGAGCGGGAGCGGCAGCTGTAGATGCGCAGAGAGGTTGCCTCTGCGTCCTCGCACCTCTGTCCATCCGAGACCACATACCCGCCGCCGCCGCCACGCAGCCTGCCATCCTTTTGCCCACGCCGCCCGCCTCTGTGTCCGTTCCCCTCTTCCGCCCGAGACCACACACCCGCCCACTCTCAGGCCAACACCGCCCGCCGCCCCCGCCATCCTTTTGCCAACACCGCCACCCGTTGCCCACAGCGCCACCGTTTTGCCGACGCCGCCTCTGCCTGTGCCTGTGCCCCCGCCCCTCAGGAGCGGAGCCTCGTAGACCGGCTGGACGCCGACTTTAGCGACGTGCAGTCGCTGCTGCTCGGTGGCGCCGCCGGAAAGGCGGCGGCCAAGCCGAGTGGGGCCGGCAAGGCGGGCGGCGCGGGAGGCGAGGGCGCCGCATCGTACAGCGACTACCACACGCTGCTGGCGGCGATGGGCGGGGAGGTCAAGGCGCAGCCGTCGGACCGGCTAAGGGGCCTAGATGCGTGATATCTCCCCGCATCTCGCCGCATCTCTTCATATCTCAGGCCCTAGAAGTGTGATATCTCCCCGCATCTCCCCGCATCTCTTCATATCTCAGTACTCCTCAGCCCTTCACCAGGCTTCACACCTCTTCACATCTCCCCACATCTCCCCACATCTCCCTACATCTCCCGGCATCTCTGATTGCTCCTCACCCCTTGACCAGGCTTCACACGGACTCGGAGCGCGCTATCGCCGAGGAGAAGCGGCTGAGGCTCTCCGAGAGGCCGGGGCGGCGAGCGGCAGCTGTGAACGGCGCCTCTTCACACCTGCCGCTGTGAACAGGCGCCAGGGTCGAGGCGGGCGTACGGCAGCCGTGAACGGCGCCTCTTCACACCTGCAGTCGTGGGTAGGCTGCTAGAGGAGGAGAGGCTGCGGCGGGCGCTTCCCGGCGGCGACGCCGACGCCGACGCTGATGGCAGCGGTGGCGGCGGCGGCGGCGGTGGCGACGGCGTTGGTGGCGTTGGTGGCGCTGGTGGCGGCGGCATGCGGCGGCGCACTGACGACGAGGAGATAGTGGAGGTGGAGGGGCGGGGCGGGGGCGGCGGGCTGGTGCTGGGTGCGGACGGGCTCGTGGAGGAGGGGGAGGGTGGCGGCGGGGAGGAGGAGGGGGAGGGGGAGGAGGAGGAGGAGGGGGGCGAGGGCGGCGCAGCGGCGGCAAGCGACGACGACGAGGCGGAGGAGGAGGAGGACGACGACGACGACGTCGACGACGACGACGACGACGACGAGGAGGAGGAAGCAGAGGAGGCCGTCAAGATGCGTCCGGCAGCGGCGGCGGATGCGGAGGCTTTTCGCGGCGGCGACGACGACAGCGACGACTTCGACGACGGGGAGGGGCTGGAGGCCGGGGAGGAGGAGGGGGGGGCGGAGGGCGGGCAGGAGGAGGCGGAGGAGGAGGAGGCGGAGGAGGAGGAGGAGGAGGACGGGAAGCGTCGCGGCACGATCGGCTCTGCTTCGCTCGCGGCGCCGCCCCTATGCCTTCCCTTTGCCGGCCACGTCTCAGCTCTTAAGCGCGGCTGGCCTGCGCGCTGGTAGGCCCTGCCCTTTGTCATCCCTTGCCCCGCCACCTCTTCGGAGCTCGACGCGGTGCTCGCGCTCGGCGGCGGCGGGGCGGAGGCGGTCAGGGAGGCGCTGCACCGAGTGCTTGCGGGGGCGCACATCGAGCTGCGGGAGGAGTGTCCGAAGCTGAACTAGTGAATCATCAATTGGTAATTACTTTTCAGGCGCACATCAAGTTAAAGGAGGAGAACCGACCGAAGCTAGCGCGGCTGGCGGTGCTCCTGCTTCGGAAGCTCCAGGCCCTAGCGGCCGCGTCGCCGCCGCGGCTGGGAGAGACGGCTCCGCTCGCCGCCGCTCTGCGCTCGATCGCGGCGCAGGTGCCGCTGGAGGTTGCCCAGGCGTGCATCGAGACGGTGTTTGGTACTTGACGGCTGGCGCATCATGAAACAGGCGCCGCTGGAGGTTGCCCAGGCGTGCATCGAGACGGTGTTTGGTACTTGACGGCTGGCGCATCATGAAACAGGCGCCGCTGGAGGTTGCCCAGGCGTGCATCGACCGCTTGCTCGCCGCGCGCGCGCAGTGGCTGCGGTTGCGGCGTGACGCCGCTGCTGGCGGCGACGGCGGCGAGGACCGCGACGGCGGCGGCGAGGAGGGCAGCGAGGGGTGCGGCGGCGGCGCGGGGGGAGGGGGGCGGCGGAAGCGGTGGCTGGTGCCTCTGCCTCCGGGCGGCCTCGCCCTCGTCGCTTGCTGCGTGCAGCTCTACCCTGCGTCGGACTACCGCCACGCGGTGCTGTCGCCGTGCGCGCTGCTGGTGGCGGAGGTGCTGGCGCAGGAGGGGTTGCCGCGCGGGCGCGTGGGGCTGCGGCGGACTCTGTTCCTGTGCAGCCAAGCGCTCAAGCTCGTCACTCCCTCAAAGCGCTTCATGCCGGAGCTGCACACCACGCTCCACCGCCTGCTGGCCGCCTCGCTCGGAGGCGGCGGCAGCGGAGGCGGCGGCAGCGGAGGCGGCGGAGTCGGCTGGGCTGGGGCGGCGGTGCGGCCGCGGCCTCTGTCGTTTGCGACTCTCGGAGGCTCGTACTGCGTGGCGACGGCGGAGGCGGAGCAGGCGGCGGCTGCGCGCGGGGGGAGGGGGGGGCCTGGGGGGGGGGGGGGGCAAGGTTCCCCTTTCCCTAAAGCGGTTGGCCCCCCGGTTTAAAAACCCCAGGGTCCGTCCAAAAAGGGGGGGCCCCTCCCTCTTCTGGGAAAAACTCCCCCAAAGTGCCGCAAAGCCCCCCTTTTTTTGCA